CACATATATATGTATAGTAGGCCATTTGCTCAATATTTGTTGAATTATGAATAATTCCAAACTATGTGTTAAGTGCAAATGCAGTAGATGATAGCAAGAAGGGAAATAAACGACAGTGCCTGGGATCAAAACAGTGGTGACTACCTGTTTAATTAGATAGTAATTTCAGTTTATCTAATCATTTTGGTTGAACTGATAAATTATTAATCACCATCTGATGGATAATGACCAAGCAATCCAATTGGCTGCTAATGGGGTAGGAATAGTCATTTAACCAAGAAGGTAAATATATACCTTCTGCTAGTCTGCACAACATCACAAATAATATTATCATCCTCAATAAAAGTTCTTCCTCCTTCTAATGGAAGGCACATTAGGAAGAGAAGAGGAGAAAAAGGAGAAGGGAGGTGATAAGTTGTGTGGTTTCCTAAAAAGAGACATGACTTAACTTACCACAAATACACTTCTTTGTGGCTATTATTTATTATTAATTTCCTCTTTGTTTTTGTTTTGTTTTCTTTTAAGGAGTATGCATATGGATTGGAGTAAGAAGGAAAAGAGAGAGACCTCACCCATCTCATTGGAATCACTTTGGGGATTAACCAGATCACAGTTCACAGCCAGGTCACCCTCATATTCAAGGATATCATGATAAGACTAGGATTCAAAGCTTAGCTTCGGCATGACCTCAGGAATGCCACTGAGCCTAATTTCCCTGAGACTTAGTGCATGGTTATTATGTCTTTCCTACTTATCTAGGAGATGAGAGTATGAACTAATGAAAATGGTTAAATGTTACGCGTTATAAGAGATTCATAGCATTGACCAACAATGGACAATCAAGAGTCAGAGATTACATTCTTAGTCTCTACTGTGAGGTAGCATGGTACAGTGAAATGTGTGAGAGCCAGAACTCCATGGACTGCCTTGTTTTTCCAGGTCTCGTAAGTTTTCTGCCTTTGACAGGGTGCTGTCTTATCACTTTTCTGTCGCTCCTTTTAGTGGAAAATATTTGAGTTTTCCTTCTCTGACAGGTTTCCGCCTTACACAGGTTCCCGCTTTCACAGGTTTTACTGTATAATGGTTGAGCTTTGACTCAAGAGCCAACCGCCTAGGCTTGTCTCCAGCTTTCCTACTCCTAGCCATGTGGCCTTGGGTAAGTTAACCTCTCTGTACCTCAGTTTCTTCATTTGTAAAATGAAAATCAGAATAGTATCTACCACAGAGAGTTGCTATGCAGATTAAATAAGTTAATGTTGATGGAGGCGCTTAACTAGTGCCCGACATATAGAAAGTAGCATATATGAATTTGTTTTTTTTAAACTAATAAACTACCTATTTTAAGGTTATAACCATGAGCATTTGCATAATAATGTTTGTATTTAATATCCGTACTTTTCCAAATTCTTTTATTTAAAGATAACAGTACGTCAGCTTTTTAAAACACTCACAGTTTTGTAACACTAACTTGTGACATCTCATATGACTAAGAGAAGGAGTGCTACCAAAAAAAGAAGAAAAAAAAAGAAATTCCGGAATTGAAGAAACTCTTCCCACACCTTTAAGCCCCACATAGCCTTCATACATGTTCACAAAGAAAACCTTTCAATAATTTTCCAAAATGCAGGTGTGCAAATTACTCCTGAAATAGACAGAAGTCATGTTCTCAGTACCCCCTGAACCACGGTTAAACACACCCTGTAGCATTTTCAGCTCATAAAAGTTTTATGAGCTGAAAAGTTCCTTCAGATTGTTTTTAACTGCTAACTACAGTTGCGTTCTAGCAATAGCACCCTAAATTTGCTATTAAGATCCACTTGAACAAATATAACAAAATGTGTCCTGAGTACCATGTTTTGTTTCATAGAAGTTACAAAAAAAAAAATCAAGATTTATATGCCTTGCCGAGTACAACAAAAAATTATGAATGCCTTGGTTTAATGTAGCATGTGTGGTACTTTTGCTTACTTGGTACATAGTACACGCAGAGGTCAATTCCAAGCTTGTGAATAGATTTATATAAGTTCATTACATGTACCAAAGGATTTTCCAGTCTGGAAAAATGTGCCTTGATACATAAAAAAGTTGGTTTTCCACACACATATACATTTTTCCTTATTAATTTATACACCTGCCTTAGAACCCATTAACTTAACATCTGCTTTAGGGTTTTACCTTGACAAAGTTCACAATGTTTGAAAAATTAAATTTCTCATAGAAGATAATTAAAATTAGTATAAATAAGCAGTTGGATCTGAATAAACCTCTTTGTTTTATTATGACAATAAACACCACTTTTAGTCCTAAGGAGAATGCATATATAGAAGCACACAAAAATAAAGATAGATGATAGGCAGATGATAGATATATACATACATAACATGCATACATACATACATACAGAGAGAGATGCACAGACAAATTGATACCTATTTACCCCCCTCCCCCCCAACACACACACTCACACACTGGAATCCTGTCCTGATGGAGGTAACCAAGTATTCCTTTTCCACAGAGTTTTCTGACCAATTATTACCAATGCTGAACAAAAAATACTTGAAGGCTGATTATCGTCCTATATTTTAAAATAGAAGAAATAAGAAGAAACACCTATTCATGTCTTTCAATCCCAGTTGAATTAAATCCATGACTAGAATACAAATGTGCATCTTTGTATAAATTGCTTCAGGGTTGAGTTGCTCAGGCCCTCCATTTTGAGTAACTGTTTATAAGCTTAGATCGTTTTTGTGATGACTGCCAATTCTTTCAGAGAGATCAAGTTTCACTTTTTCCATTTTATATTCTGATCGCTCTAACCTTAACACACAGTTTCCCATTAAGAAGAGTTGTAAAATGCAGGACATTTTTACTGTTTTCTGTGTTATCTGACTCAACTTAAGGAAGACCAAAGAAGAACTGATGCATTTGAATTATGGTGTTGGCGAGGAATATTGAATATACCATCTACTGCCAGAAAAATGAACAAATCTCTCTCGGAAGAAACACAGTCACAATGTTCCTTAGAAGCCAGGATGGTGAGACTTCATCTCACATACTTTGGACATGTTATTAGGAGGGACCAGTCCCTGGAGAAGGACGTCATGCTTGGTAAAGTAGAGGGTCAGTGAAAAAGAAGAAGGCCCTCAATGAGATGGATTGACACAGCGGCTACAACAATGGTCTCAAACATAGCAACAACTGTGACGATGGTGAGGATGGCACGGGACCGGGCAGCGTTTTGTTTTGTTGTACACAGGGTCGCTATGAGTTGGAACTGACTCAATGGCAACTAACAACAACAGTATCTACTCTAACAAGAGAGTAATGTATACTGGGAAAAACTTCTGCATAGTCAGTAGTTCAAGTATTTGAAAAAATTCTCAAGTTAAGTGTAAAGTTCTTTTTGCTTTTCATTACTACTTATCTTTCTTTTCCATAGTAATCTCTTCCTGTCCCTTTTCCAACCCTACAAACTAGAAATCCTCATTCTTACTTGCTTGGAAACTCTTCTCCTATGACTTCAGTTCCCAGAGGTGGAAAAGGAAAGTCGTTTCCAAGAAATAGCATCATTACCAGAAAAATAATGTTCCAATCCTGGCCTCTTTAAACTGTATTGGGAAGTGGGGATTAATTTTAATACTCTGGCAATGTATTCCATTCTTTACTATTCACTCCCCTGCAAGAGCTTTTAAATCAGAAAATTCTGCACAGCAGAAGCCTATAGAAGCCGTGAAGTTCCCATCTGCCATACCGGAAGCCAGCTGACTTGATAACGGAGCTGCCTGTTTGTTTCCAACAGGTGCACTCCTGCACACTCTAATGAGGATAGCATCACCCTGAGGAAAAATGACACCCTGAAGCGTAACCCCCAACAGTAAGAGAAGAATTCTGCTATAAGGACAGTCCTCTAGCCAGGTATCTCAGAGACAGATTTTTAAAAAAAGAGTATTAATTTATTTAATTTTCATATCAAACTATAATGCAGCAACTTAGAAAAATTAGTGATCTTAACTTTGAAATTAAAAAGAGACAAACAAACTTGAATCGATCTACTGAACTGTATGTGCTCTGTATTCTCAACTGAGCTTACCAAAATTAAAAGATGGTATGGTTTCACCTTTGGGAAGGAATATGTCACGCTTGGTAATGAAAACTGCAAATATTAATCAACGGAAAGAAAGGGCTTTTAAGAATTCTGTCAGAGAGCTAAAATATTTGAGAATAGGCATCACAAACATTCCTAGAGATAAAACAGTTAAATCACAAAATGGGCAATATTCCAGTCTGGTCTGTAGGAAAGAAAGGTAATGCTAAGATACCCAACTTCTGATATTTGATATTATGAAATCATTGCATTGCCTAGAACTGGACTAGATTATATTTGTTCTAAATAATTAAAGCCACATTAAGGGGGAAAAAAAAAAAGACAACAGCTTAAAAAACATGTTGAATTTGCATTAAAATAACATTTAAACTATAGCACATATTACCCACCCCACAAGTGGTATAATAAACCTACAAAATCCTGGAAGAGACAAACAAAAGCAAACTTTAAGATGTCTTTCTACGAACTCGAGGGATGTGCAATATCGTTTTAGCTGTCCACATTGTAAGTGCTGAAGGTTAATAGTTAAAGACCAATGGAATGTTAACACAGTCTAGTGCTACACTTGAGTAGTGATGCATGGAAAGACACTGAAATTAAAACACTTTGTTCTGCACGTTCTGAAGTGATGTAACAGTGATGATTTGGTTATATTAGATGACAAAGCAGGGCTTCTTATAACTTTTAAAATAAAATCATACCTAACATTCTTCCAAATTGTTTAACATATTCTTCCAATTCTTGTCTAAATACATAAAGCTAAAATACAAATTTTTTCACACTCCAGTTATCTTCTAATAGCAGCATTTGATATGTTGATTTTTTTTTCCCAATGTAATTTTCAAGATAAAATGCTGATTGCCTTGAATGGTATGTCTAGAAAGCAAAGACTTACCTGTCTTGTTTTCTCTGACCTCAATAACATAAACATTTATGTCAGAGTGGAATTTTGTCCCCAGCGGGGGTTCTGGAGTGGAAACTGCCTGAGGTCTGAAGGGCTCTTTGCTTTCCACAGTAGGTGGTTTTGTTGGCTGTGTAGAAGTACTTGCAGTCGTGAAATATTCTCTATCAATTTCGGTTTCCGTTTCCTTAGCTACAATATCATCAGGGGTAGTGGGAAGAAAGCGAGATGTTGATTCTCCAATAATTACCATGTCACTGGTTGTTTCCTCACCAGGTTCCCTGTCAATGAGAGGTGGTTTTTCAGTGGATGTTGAAGAGGGCACAGATGCTGAAGTTGTATGAAATTTGTCTACTGAACTAAACATAGTAGTAATATCACTCGGAACTGTAGTTTTAATTGTTGAAAATTCCGAGTGTTCTGTAACTTTAGGCCTTTCAAATAATCCCGAGCCTAAATCAATATAATCTAGGGATGTTTTCTCTCTCTTCTCAGTAGTGGTTTCTTCTATCAGCCGGGTAACATGGGTGCTGAAAGGACTCAAAGGTGATTCAAATTCCGTTGAACTACTACTTTCTGCTTCATATTTTTGGTCAGGCCTTGGACTTAAAGATATCTTTGTTCCCACACTTGGTGTTAGTGTTACCATTTCATCCATTTTCACTTTGTGCTCAGTTATAGGACAAGGTGGATAAGACACACTGTGCTCAATTTTTCCAACTGGAGTTGTTTCTAAAATGGGGACTCTTTCAGAACCTGTCACCAATTTCTCTTCTGGGATTGGATATGCTGATCCATCACTCTCTTGTTCATCCAGTGATACTGTTGCCTCCTTGAGTATTTCAGCCGTAGAACTGGGAGCTGGAACCGGTTGCTCCGCAGTCTGTTCTTTCCAAGGAACTTCTTCCTGAGTTGTTCCCTGTGTGATTTCTGTTGTTGTTCTTAAGATTTCAGGAGAAATAGTTGCTTCCAGGTGAGTCTCATCAATGACACGTATGTCTTGAGAGGGCTCACCTAGTAATTCTCCTTCTGATGGAACAAACTGTACCAAAACTTCCCATTCTTTCTTAGGAATTATAGAAAGAGGAATGGTATGGGAAATGTCTACATAAGTAGTAGGCTGCTGGGTGCTACTAAAATTAACAAATGCCAATCCTTCTCCATCTGAAGTGTGTGTAAATTGGGGAACAGTAGACACTGGCTTAGAGATGTCCACATCTACTTCTTCGTCCAAAGCACTTCCTTCTGTGGTTGCATAAACAACTTTGCTTTCAGTTCTTGAGATAGATGGAACTCCTTCTTCAGTTGTAGAATCTCTCAAAGTTGACTTTTCTGCAGTACTAATTGATGTAGTTGGCTGAAATCTAGCTGTGAATTTTCCACGGTCTGTTAAATATTCCTCAGTAATCTCCTCTAATGGCTTTTGAGTACTATCTGGAATGAGAGTAAATTCATCTCCATGTTCAGTGAATCTTGGGATTTCTTCATCCTTTCCATTCCCTCCTACAGTGGGCAGTTTTGGAGAGACTTCATGGTCTGTAGACTCTGAAGGCTTTGATGTTATATTATCTTCATCCCATGACCATTTTGATACAGTGACCACCTCTACACTTAAAGTACTGTGAGTCAAATGCACTGTTGTAATACCCTCATCATACTTGGTAGTATCTTGATCGCCAACCGGAGTTGTTGCAAATTCTTCTTCTCTAGCTCTTTCTTCTGTTGGCTGCACACTTGGCTTTGTTGTTGTTAATGCTGGAGACTCAAAAGATTTGGTTATTTCCACAGAAGACTCTGTAGGATGAATTTGCTCTGAGGATGCTGTAGAGACCTCCATTCCAGAGAATTCTTCCTCTGTTTTTCCTATAAATGGATCTTTGGTGATTTTTGCCTGTATTTCATCATTGGTATATGTATCTGTTCTCATAGCTGGCCTTTGTGTTACTATTCTTTCTCTTCCTTGTGCCATTTCTGTTTCTAGAGAGGAATAAATAACTGTTGGTATTTCCTCTGTTAATCTTTTATCACCAGGAAAAGGAAACAATTCTACTTCTGTCTGATGCTGTGGTGAAAAAGGTGTGGTAGATACATGCTGGTCCCAAGAATCCTCAGTTGTCCTACCAGTAGTTTGTTTCTCTTGCCTGTCGTCCATAGATGAGCCATCATTATCAGGCATGGTAACAGATGTAACAAGTGTGGAAGCTGAGATTGACTCTGATTCCTCTAGTTGAGTGTGAGTGATGTCTTCTGAAGTCTTTGACACTGTAATAACGTCAGGTATTTGGCTAAAGATGAAGGTGCTATGACCAGGTCTAACTGTAAGTGTTCTGTCTTCACCATCATCATTCCCCAAGGTGAATCCATAGAGGTTTGTGGTCACTGATTCAGAGATAGGGCTTACTGTTTTCTTTTCAGTTTTGGATTCCATGGTCATTCTTGTGGATAGAAATGGTATTTCAGTTGCAGAAAATTCCTTGGAAGGAGTGTGCTTTGAGATTTCCACAGATGTTACAAAGGGACCCACTTCTATTTGTTCAATTTGTGTAACTGATTCTTGTGTTTTTGTATCTTCCGTGACATCATCCCATGAATCCGTAGTATGATGGGAGATAACAGTTGTACTTTTGGGCACGTCTTCCTTGATTTCAGACATATCTGGTTTCTCAAGTGGTCCTGCAGCAGAAGGCAAGTAATCCATATCCCATGGCTTCTTGGTACTTCCAGAAGGTGTGGCTGATTCCGTGGCTAATTTGTCTGTAACAGTCTGAGATTGAACTGGACCTTTCTGTTCAAAATTGACTATATTTTCCACAGAAGAGAACTTTGTTGTAATGACAGATAATGCAGTGATTAAAGGCATGATCGGCGTAGTTCTGTCAGGTACTATTTGTGGTTCCTTGGATAAACTGGGTGATGCAGTTTCTGCGAGGATAGTCAATTCAATGGTTGTAGCCTCTGATACATTCTGTTTAGCTAGAAAAATAATTTCAAAGAGTTGATTAGACAAGTCACTACTAAAAAGTTGTGCCTCCAGTGTTTGTTAACTGTTTGTTGCTGTGTGTTTTTGGGGTGCCCCAAAAGTGTTTTGTGGTGAGAAGGGGAGTCTAAAAACTACACTTATATTAATCCAAAGGCAGACAATTGAACATTTAACATAAATTGATCAGTTGTCCTTTTTATTGTAAAGGTTATTACTACTTTTACCCATAGGTGTGATTGGCTGTTCTTGGTTTAAAAAAAAAAAAAATTAATATTATGCAGTTTTAAGATAAAAAGAAGTAAAAAAAAAAAAAAGTAAATGCAGAGTTTGGATACAGCAGATGGGTTTATTTATCAGAAACCACAGCAGCAATTTGAAACCTAGTAGGAGAACTTAGTGCTACTATTCTGGAGGCTTCTGAACCCTACCTCTAGCTTTCTCCACATACTTTGTCCTTCTCAAGCTGCATAGTATCTCAGGGGAGAGGGAATGTTTCAGATTGCAGAACAACAGAAAAGCCACATCAAATGTAGCAGAGCTACATATAAACCATCACATTGTCCATAACATGAAGACTCTCATAAAAACAGAATATTAAACTTTTTAATACTACTCTTCATTTGATTCCAGGTGTTTGGACACTTGTCTTCATCTTCCTTTCAACTCTGTAGTGTGGGCTTGCTTGTAATAAATTAGAAAATGTTTCTGGCAGAGGCTGCTTGGCATTGTTGTAGTTCTATCTTTTATTCTATGTTCTACATACTATGTTTGTAACTCTTAAGGGTCTTGGTTCCAGGCTTTCTTTAGCATGAAGCACAAATGTAGAACAGGAAGTAAAGTTCCCACATGATATATTTTAGGTCTGTAATTACAAATCACTGGAAACAGCCCTGAGCATCAGAAAGAACAGACTCAGGCAATATAAGGTAACATGTTATCATAAAATGCTACATTATAATCCCTCCAGATTTACACAGAATGGTCTGACTGGTTTAAAGAAATTTAATATGTGTATAAAAATGAGCGTTGTATACAGGAATTCCTTCTCAATATAAGGAAAAAATCAGCAACCTAGCACACAAAGATTTCATTTAAAAAAAAAATCAAGTGTTTTGAAAATAAAAACTTATCTGCCTTTAAACTGAGGAAAAACTATTCTGAGGAAGCCTGTAGTCCTTGTTTTGCTACACCTGTGTGATTTAAAGCTAGTTGTATTTGGAGAATGCCTGTTCTCCCTGATAAGAGTTGTGATAGCTATAGTATCTATAATATCTTACTTTTAATAATCCCTTTGAAAACAAAACTGGGCACCTTTTAACTCAGTCTTCTCTGTCAAAATTTAATGATAAAATGCTGTAATTTTGATGTAAACTAGACTGGGGCTGTAATAGGTCCCTTATTTTTTTCTGGCACGAGCTGTTATTAGCTGTGGTCATTCTCTATACTAATTTAAAGCCCAGATTCATTATTTTTACGATAAAAACCTGGTGGCCTTTTATATTATAGTACATTGAAATGTTCTTTAGGCCTGTCATTATTTGTCTGTTTATATTTAAACAAAACTAAACAAAAAGAGATTTGGACTCTTTAAAAACATGAATGATGAATAACTTCTTTCTCCCCTTTTAGAGAAAAGTTTTTTCTGCCTTTACATCTTGGAAGAAGCTTCAGTCTATTTTGATTGACATGAACAAACTTAAGGACCTAAAATGGGGTCGATTCTTTTCGTTTTAATTCAATTCTCTATCCTCTGAAATTCCATAACTGTTACCTCATTTAACTGCCAAATTTCATATTTGTCTTATAACTGCATTCTTTAGGGAAATGGTAAAAGATAGGTACACGGAAAGTTCCCATGGAAGCATAACATAAACACTAAGCAAACTGCATAAGAGAAAATGTAATCATATTATTATTAATAATAAAAAGAAAGTTAATTTTACTTTTCCCTCTGAGTATTTCCATAACTGATGACATTAAGTTAAAGGGAGATGATATTGCGTTCGGGCCAAACAGGGGTCTGTGAATCAGGTTTCCTTAATGTTCCAATCCAAGTTCTATACCAGTAAGTCTATCCAGTGCTATGAAAATATTTTCATAACACTTAAAAAATTAGGGACTTGGATTTCTAAAATAAATAAATAACTGTATGATATTGTCGATTATTATTTTCCAGTTTGCTGTTGCTTCCTCCAGCCCCGTAGCATAGTAAAGTGATAACAGCATGTCCCAGAGAATCTCCTTTTCTAAGCCAGGATTTATATGACTTTATTTTCACAAACAAGGCTTTTCAATAATCTCAGGGCCCTGTTAAAAAGTCTGCTTATATTTAACTTAATTAAATCTACTATTTGGAATAGAAAACCTCAGACTTCCTTTTGGGGTTGGGTGGCTTTTCTATCAACTTAACAGATGATTTCCATCATAACTCAGTGAATCTGATCATCTGAACCATTTGTTCCAGCCATTACAAAAAAGGAAATAATTTTTACAAACACAAATAGCTGCAAAACAGCATAAATACCACTATTTTATTGTGGACAATTACAAAGGTGGAAACACAACTCCAGGTTATTCTAAAAGTGCTGCTCCAGAAGGTGCGCTCACATGGAGAAGCTTTTGTCTTGGAAAATTACCAGCATTCCTTCAACTTCATTATTGAGAAAGCCAACAAAAATCAGCTTGCTTCATTCCCCACAAGAGCTCCCTTCCAAACTTTGCAGCTGTCTGCTATGCAGATGTTTCACATCACTGTACTTGTGGTATTTTATGTCCTATGAACTATCTTCTCTGTGCTTCTGTTATGAGACATATGGCAGATTTTCCTAATAACATATAAACACCCTATTAGTAGCACAAAAGTCGATTTAACTCATACCCGTCCTGCGTACATTAAAGCCACATGACTTATTTTAAATTGATTCTTTTACATTAAGTTTGCTATATGTAAATATGTGTAAACCTGGGAAAGTATCAATAGAGTGAGAATTCAATAGCTTGATTCTGGGCTCATAGTTGAGGAAAGAGTGAAGGCTGGGCAATGGCATTAGAATTCAAACTATCTTTAAAATGTTTCATGAGTGACTGAATGCTAACATTCAATTTCGATACATAAGAAATATTTTTGAAATACCAATGAGGGAAGGACTAGTTTTGGCACTTACGGTCAGATGATAATCTAGGTCACAAAAAACTGTAATAAGCTGACCATAGTTTAGAAGGGCAGACCAATCTCAGAAGTGAACCAATATAGAAATAAGGTGGCATATGAAGTGGTGGTAACTAACTGAACCTTCTTTAGACCACTATTTTCAGCTCCAGGCTAATCAAGTAAAGGGATATGAGAAACAGTGAAGGTTCCAAGGAAGATCTTATAGATGATTACGGCTTAGAAACTGAAAATTCAAAAGAAGGAAATTGGTCAAGACGCTGAGGGACAACTGAACAATTGTGTTCAATAATAGAAATGGCTGTTGTTTAGATTTTAGTCTCCAACTTAAAAAGGAAAAATGGGCTCAAACTCCAGTGCAACAAATTTAGACAATGACAAAAAACTATCTGATAGTGATGGCCACAGAATATTAGAATGGGTTTCCCGAGAAACATGCCCTGTCTCCTTCTCTGGAGACCATTAACAACATTAAATGAGAGATGATCATCAGTCATCAATTGTTCTAATTCACTTAAACTTGAGGGTGTGATCTTTCAAAGTCCTTTAAAACTCTCTAACTTTCATATAACTTGCTTAACACTGAGGTCAAATAAAAATAAAAAGTGCACGATTAAGTTTAATTATCAAGGGAAAATATGCAAGAAAACTTTGTTTCACAGATACTAATTTACCTGTTCAAATCTATTTGAATTTTACTACCCAAGAATAGATTTTAATCATATCTGTTATTAGTCATTTTTAATGCTCTATTCAGTTATAAGGAATAGGGAATTACAGCAAAATAAGATTTGGCATTGTTCAATCACCAAGGAATGGCTCACCAAACACTACATTTGGTAAAAGTGAGTTAAAAAGATATGGCTATATTTCTAAATTCCTCTATTTAATTCCTTACCTGAAGTAAATCTCTGACATCACTTTCTGGAAGTGCAGCTAAAGTCACAACCCTCACACATTTTATCCTACAGAATTCAGTCACTGAGCTTTGAAATTTTTTTTTTTCAAATTGTTAAAAGAAGTATTAAAAGAAGCTTTGAAAAATGAATTTGAAATTTGGGAAAACTATTGGCACTGTGTGTTGTTTAAGACAGCTTTTATGTTATGACTAAGCTCTCTTAACTTTTTATATGTAGAATAAATTTTGAATACTATAGGGTTTTAGGTATGGAAGAAATGAATAAGAATCTAGCTTCTAACTTCAGCTGAGGAAAAAAAAAAAGAATTTATTATATTCCTCTGTAGATTCAAATGAATTGAGGAGAAAAAAAATTGAACTGAAACTTTCTGTTTTAGATTTTATTTATCTTTTTAGTTGTGGACAATTCTATTTGAATGTAAGTACCTTGTTTTTTAACACATTCATGTGAATTCCTCATGTAAATAAATAATTTAAACACATCAGGATGAATTTTGTAACAGAACTTTTTTGTGGCTATTGACAGGATTTGACTTAAATTTTACCCTCCGGGAGAAAAAAATATTGTTTAAAAATATTTTTAAAATATTGTTTAAACATTTTCTAATGCTAGTTTTATAAAGCACAAGGGGATATAATCAAGCAAGGCAGTCAAGCTGAATAATTCTACCACTTCCCTAAATTAACCTCTCCAGCCCCCACCCCTTTGTATACCAATTTTGTTCTTTAATCATATCAACCACTCAATGCAAAACTTTTAGAGCCTAAACTCTCTAAGGAAAGGTGGCCTAAAGGAATGTATGGCTTTCTACTTTTATGGAGAAGGTTTTTTGTTATTGTTGTTGTTTGTTTGTTTTCCTGAACATGCTTAAGGAAGACTCTTGTTTCAGAGCTGGGGAGGGGCGGGAAGCTAGTCTTTTCAATGCTCTCTTAAGGATGGCCCATTGGCTTTAACACTCAGAAAGTTGAGTCTCAGGGAGCAAATCCAAGCAGAGGTATGTTAGCTCTTTCCTTTCCTTTGCTGACTGCTTAGGCATCACAGCTCTGTGTCTTTTTCATTGGTGAGAAATGCCAGTGTATTTCACTTTAGAAACCAGTTACATAATAAGCTAGTGTATTTTCTATTAATTTTAGTTATATATTGCTACTACAAGGTATCTTCAAAACTTACTCAGAAAATTTTAACATGGCTCCATCTTATACATACCCAAGGCTACCAGAATTTCTGAGAGATCTTTGCTTACCTAGCCCAGTATAGACCCTACAGTAAATATTATAGCGAGACTGTAGCAAATTTGCTTGTTCAATTAGGCAGTCTACTGTCATGATACCATATCATGTGAGAACTATGGCTAAAATAATTCTAGGACATCTGAAAAATTAAAATAATTATATCATAAAGGTTGAGAAACGCTACTTGAAACTAACTTTAAGTAGTGAATCTAACTGAAGATAGCCTACTTATGTTAGCCCTTGCAAGGAACATATATTTTACTTCATTATGATATTATAGAATTAATCATTAGAAGGCACATATTTCCATTACCTGAAATAAAATAAGTGGAGATTTTTATTTATAGCATGGTTCATTTTTAACTACAAGTTGAACATTATGATTATCCATGTCAGCTCCAAGTACTCACCTGCAATTACTGATATTTAAATTCTCCACCATTTCAAAGAAAGAGTGGTATCAAACAAGGACAAGATAAAATTCACGGATTTAACTCAGCCACAGGTGGCCTCAGCATTACAGTACCAACAATCTAAATGAACTTAAGGGCTGCAATTAATATAAAATTACTGAGAAACACGTACTGCCAGGGACGGATTACCCAATAAGCAAGGTAGGCATGGGCTTACTTGTATTTACTTACTAATCTTTGATGTGGGGAAACCCATGTGAAATTGTGTACTACGGATTAGTAAATAAACACAAATAAGCCTGTGCATATCTTGCTTACTGGTTAATCTGCCCCTGACTGTGCTTCTAGGCACAGTGTGGCAGAGTTAAGACCTTAACTTGGCATTTCTTCATTCCCTCTAGAAATCCGTTTGTCAAACTTTATGTTGTTTTAACCACATCACCGCTGTGTGGTTTGCTTGCTTTTGCAAGTCTCTGAACTTTCCTATTCCCATACACGTAGTGCAAGACATGGAATCCACTCCCATGACCAGTTGAACACCAATGCATACCTCTGAAGTAATATTTTTAAATGTGTAATTTTTAAAAAGATATCAAACACTTACGTTTAAAGCAGTAGGCATCAAATCTGCTATCAGGGGTAGGGAAGCCTGTCTGGTTCTCAAAACGATACAGGGTTCTCACCCCAAGTAAACCACCTCCACACTGGATCCTGGCCACAGTCACAGGGTGGCGCACACTGGAGTCTGACAGCCAACCGTAATCGCACTGGTCAAAGCCGTTCCTCCAAGCGGCATGGAGTTCCCCCACTGTCGCCAGCCTGGCGTCCTGGGCTTCACACTCTTCTTCAGCTTCCTTAAAGGTAAACTTATTGGGAGCAGTGATGTGGTACACATCACCTAGAAGAAGAAGAGAAAACAAAACAAAAACTAAGTTTTCACTATTCATCTCTTTCCTTTTTTGATATTAAAAAACAAGAAAACAGTTGCCATGGAGCGATTCCAGCTCATGCGACCCCTTGTGCGTGAGAGTAGAACTGTGCTCCGTAGGACTTTCAATGGCTAATTTTCTTCTAAGGCACCTCTTAGTGGACTTGACTCTTCAAACTTTCAGTTAGCAGCTGAGCGCATTAACCATTTGCGCCACCCATGGATTTTGATATAGGGTGGAGGAGGGGCATGTAATCTTGTTTTCATGGCAAGGTAGCAGCTGCTGATACTTTCAAGCAGAGAACGTCATTACTTAATTTTGGTATAATTATTATTTATGTATAATAAGAAATAGCAAATATGAGAAAAGTCATTCAATACACATATATTCCCATAGATGATACAAGCAGTCACTTGATAATAAAGTTAAAATAAATTCTATAAAACGAACAAATCTTTCCAGGTGATTCCTTGGACTTTTGTCCAGGGAATGGGTTTTCTCTTTAATGAATGAGCCTGCAGTGTACTTATTCACATTGCATGGTGGGAGAGGAAAGCTCTTTTTAATGCCCACTGAGGTTATTTCACTTGATTTATCCTAAAACCAAATAATAATAATCCAAACCCCTTCCTCATGTATCATTGCCATCAAAATGGATTAACTTCTACCAAAATCAATCAACAAAACAAAACAAGAAAACTTACAGGAGTTTGAAGATGGGAAGGGATGGAAACAGTACAGAATGCTGTCTCCTGCCTTCCTTTTCCAGGGGCAGGGCTACCATAATGGCTATGCAGACCGTGCACTTCACAGTAGCACAGGGTCGGGGGTGCATGGGGGCTGACATCAGCTCCCACTCAGCCAGCCAAAGGGACCCCAGTCAGCTAGAGGAAGGGGTACCTTATTTTCTACTTTTCCTGCCCAGACAGGATATCTTTCAGAATCTTCCCAGAGGAGGCACTTTTGTGAAATTCTCACAAAGATGTTGTCCAGCAGGGGCTTGAACTAGGTCCAGGTGGCTTTTATGTTTGTTGATTGATTAGCAAACAAAGGCTGGGCGTTTTGTTGTTGCTGCTCATCACCAGGTCCAGTTAGCACAGGGCATACTCATTATCATTCAGCACGTTACAATAAAATATTCTGGAACTCCATAAAGTTTGTTAAATTGGAATTTTCCCTAGGTAGCCAATATAACAATTTGCTGAAATGACAGTTGGAATTAAAATGATGCTTTTCATGTATGAGCACGAGCAGCTAAAAGACAGAGGCAGAATTAGAGAACAGTTTCTTGAATGTAACAGGCAGGCGGAGATGTATAAAACGAGATAGAGAAGAAGCTAAAATATTGACAGCTCATTGCTGGAGCAGCTGCAGGTCTGTTTCCATCTCATCGGGGCTGCTTTCTGATTCTATGATATATTAGACAACTGGTATGTGATGAGTGTGCGTAATTTGTACCTTCACCTGACTAAATCCAGGTGTAACAAGCAATTGTTTGAAATGAATACAGCCATTAATCGCTCCCCCTCTCTTTCTCTCTGAGTGTGTGATAACTTTATAAAACAAGAAATGTTAGTTATGGGAAAAATAGCCAACGCACACATATCAGCTTTTCTCACTATAAATCTAAAATTGCCACTGATGTAACTAGGCCAAGTCCCAATAAGAGCTATCTGAAGAAGAGAAAGAAAAACTACTTTTACCTGACTGAAGAAAGTAATCCAGAAGTGATTTTTATCCTTGTTATCTGGTCCAGGGATAGATTCTCCAATAGGCAAGATAAGCATGGTGCTTACCTTGCTTACCAGATTATCTGTAGTGAACAATTTCACATTTTTTCACCACGTTGAAGATCCTGCTTCCAGGTATGGCTGGCATCTGTCTCTCTCCCAACCCCACAGCACCTTCCTACACAATCAAAGCCTCTTTTCAAATTTACAATCCCTGACAGGGGCAGATAACACAGTAAGCAAGGTGCTTACTTACTAATTTGTAGTGAACAGTTTATTACGTTTTTCACCACATCACAGATTAGTAAGTAAGCACAAGTAAGCCTGTGCTTACATTGCTTACTGGGTTATCTGCCACTGATCTGGTCTGACAAAGAACAGTGATCTCAAATTCATAAATATACTAAAAACAAGTCAGTGCCCCCTCCCTACTCCCACAATGTTTCCCTGTGAGTCAAGCTATAAAAAAATAATTGCCGTCGAGTTGACTCTGACTCTGGTGACCTCACATGTGTCAAAATAGAACAGTGCTTCATAGAGTTCTCAGTGACTGATTTGCAGAAGTGGATTGCTAGTCCTTTCTTCTGAGGCATCTCTGAGTGGCCTTTAACGTCCAACGTTTTGATTAGTAGCCGAGCACGTTAACCGTTTCTACCACCCAGGGACTCTGTTCAAGTTACAATAACTTTTAAAAGCATATGGGTCACAATACCAGTTACATAGTATGGATTCAACAATATGTATTGAATGAGTGGCATTTCACGTTCTTGTTCAGAAATTAGGTGCTCTTCAACAGAGAGTCCCTGATGGAGCAGGAGAAAGATGGGGTGTAGAACTCAAATTCTAGTAAGAAGACCAGACTTAATGGTCTGACTGAGACTGGAGGAACCCCAGAAAGCATGGCCTCCGGACTGTCAACCCAGAACTAAAACCATTCCTGAGGCCAACTCTTCAGACAAAGATTAGACTGGACTATGGGATATAAAATGATACTCGTGAAGAGCGCGCTTCTTAGCTTGAGTAGATACAAGAGACTAAATGGGCTGCTTCTGCCTGGAGATGAGATGAGAAGGCAGAGACGGTCAGGAGCTGGTTGAATGGACACGGGAAAT